AGTTCTTGTTTGAGAACAATCTGTTCGCAGGCTGTTGGTCTCTTTTTCACCTGGATGTCTCCAGATCAGCCCTCAGTGACCCGGTGAGTCTTGAACCATCACGGTCTGCAAAAGTGACACTTGATGATTTTCTTGAAAGCGCTCTGAAAATCTTTGTTGAAGTACGCGTAAATGATGGGGTTCAGTAAAGAGTTGGAGTAGCCCAGCCAGTTAATGACATCCTCTAGCCAGCGGGGCATGTAGCACGACTCCTGGCAGAAAGGCATGACCAGGGCGACGATGAAGAAAGGCAGCCAGCAGAGGATGAAGGTGCCCATGATGATGCCCAAAGTCTTCACCGTTTTGCGCTCCCGTGCCAGCGCGATCTTCCTCTTCGCCTCCGTCGCTTTCTCATGCCTGCTCTCGAAGAGCGGCACGGAGCTCGGGGTGTTGGGCAGCGGCAGGTTGCCTTTGGAGTTGCTGTGAACTTCGATGATCTCCAGAGACTCGCCGTCTTCGGCGTGTCTCACCGCGCCGTTGACACTCGGCAGCGGCCGGGGCTCCACGCTTCTTTTCCAGCTCTTGCCCTGTGCATCTCCTTGGATCTTTTTATGGAAGAGCGCGGGAGAGAGCGCCAGGCAGGAGTCGGACACTTTCTTTTTCTCCGTTTTACGCACCGTCCTCCTGATGCGGAACCGGGCAGCTTTGAATATCCGCCCGTATAAAACCAGCATCAGAGTTAGCGGGATGTAAAAAGCCCCGAAAGTGGAGTATATTGTGTACCAGGGGTCTTGCCTTATCTTACACTGCTTGGGGTTCGCCCTGTCCTCTGCCATGCTGCTGGGCTGGGAGCGCATGATCAGCATAGGCGGCACGGAGATGGAGAACCCCACTAGCCAAGTGACGCTGATGAGGACCGCGGCTCTCCTCGGGGTCCTCTTCTTCATATAGTCTATGGGCTCGGTTATGGCCCAGTATCTGTCCAGAGCGATGGCGCACAGGTGCAGGATGGACGACGTGCAGCATAGCACATCCAGAGAGATGAAGATGTCGCACGGAATCTGCCCGAGAGTCCACCGATTCAAAACCTGGTAGAGCGCCGCCATGGGCAGCACCAGCACCGACACCATCAGGTCCGTGACGGCAAGAGAGCCGATCAGATAGTTGGCGACATTCTGGAGAGAGCGCTCCAGCGCGATTGCTGCAACCACGCACGCGTTCCCAAATATTGCGCACAGGATGAGCGCGCCGAGCAGGAAGGATGTGACCACTTGGTAGCTGAGTTTCACCTCCTCGTCTTCTGGTTTTGGGGCTTTGTTTGAAGAGTTGTCGAGTTGAAGCCAGGCGGTCGTGTTGTTTGTGCCCTCCATCGTTGGGCCACTTCGATGCGACTGGAGAGGTTCTACTCTGCAGAGCGCATGGCACGGGAACACCGTGAAGAGCGCATAGCGGTCAGCTGGTCTGCCGAGAAGTGCAGAGAGGCTGTAAACTGCGAGTGTTGGCTGCTGACGGAGAATGATGCTGCGGTTTTATACCGGTGATGGAAAATGCGTCATTTCTGTGTGAGGCTGTAACAGAGGCATGGTTATGTCTGTTTAGTCCACAGCTCAGGCAGTGAAGATGTAGGAGCTGTGAAAAAAACACAGTAGTTTCCTTCTACTCCGTGGTCTCCAGACTGCAAGTGGATTAAGATTTATTTATTTATTTATTTATGTAAATTTTATTGAAAAAAGTGGATTTGCTCATTTTTGAATGGCCTAAAATTAAAATCATTTTTAAATTTAAAACTATTTCAGTTATTGTTTCAACTCAATATGAGTTGATATGAAATATGTTTTTCTTCCCGTGTATTTCATTTGTGGCAGTCGTCTGCTTTCAGCACCACGATCAGCGCAGTGCAGTCAATCTGAGATGTCACACTGCCACCCGGCGTTGATTCACTGTCACAACACATAAACAATTATTACATTTTTGTTATCTTAAGCTTCAAACGCCTTCAAAGTAAAATAAAATAAAATAATTAAAAAGTTTGGCCATTGTGCCAGATTGTTGTATTATTATGACACTGTATTATTTTCATTCAGTTGTTCAATGTTAAAAACCAAAAGACGTCAAGAACAATATAAAAAGTACTGCTTTGCTGCACCTCCGAGTAAACGAGCTTTAATGAGAGCCTAAAATCTTTGAGTAATTCCATATTGTTTCCTCTATTTGATTTGGAAAAAATTATGCCATCAATTTAAATAAATATTTAAAAGTAATGAAAGTTTAGCTGGATCTGTGACAGACATAAACATTGGCCAACCAAACAACTTTAACAGGGGGGCATTTTCCCTACATCACTTTTCTGTTCCATTAAAGGCAAAATTAACTTTTATCTTAAGTATCTTTTATGTGTGCTGTTGCACTTACACACTTTGTCCACAAATCAGAGGTTATAAACTCAGATGCACAACTGCAAAATTACATGCAAAACTGGAGTGCAGGATGAGTTCCTGTATAATTAATAAACTCATACATTGTGTCATCTGTGTCACATGTTACATAATGTCAAGTATAAACAAGGATAAACATCCTGCTTTAAATCATAAATGGCCTGCATTAGTATACAACCATTTGCACTCACTGGCCATTTTATTAGGAATACACATGGCAGGAACTTGATGCTTTGACCCATGCAGACATGGTCAAGGTGACCACCTGAAGGTCAAACTGAGCATCAGAATGGGCAATAAATGCAATTTAAGTAACTGTGAAATGTGGAAAGGGTGTTTCTTGATCTGGTTGGTTTTGAGTATTGTAGGTTTATGATTCTTTTGGGGTTTGAATATTGATTTATGGTAAAGCTTTCTATCATTTTTTCTTTTGAGTTTGTTATTATTGCTTCTTGCTTTTTAATTTCTTTTTTATGCTTCTAGTTCTTTGTTTGTCACTTGATGATGTTAGGTCTCTTTCATGCCCATTCTGTCCAAGCCTCATCTTTGTGTTTTGTCCTTATTTTTTTCTCAGGTGAAGTCAGCTTTTTCTTCATGTTTACCTTTCTGTCCTTGTGTCAGGTTTTGTGGTTTGAGTCCGTGTCTCAGTGTTAGCTTCTGTTTAATTTTGATAATCTCTTGTGTTTTGTATTAAGTTCTTCTTCCCTTGTCTATTCTTCTGTGATTAGCATCAGCTGTGCTCCGACCTGTTTCCTCTTCCTTCATTACCTGGTGTGTAGTGTGTGAATCTGTTCTTTCTTATGTTCTCCCTCTATGTTGTATCCCTCTGTTCCCTGTATTTTTAAGTTTTCCATGTGTTTTGCACCAGCCTTGCTCCATGTATGCTTTGTTCTTAAGCTGAGTTTAAGTTACTCTCCCAAGTTAGTCTCCCAAGTCCTGTGTTTCGGTCTTTACCTGTCACATAGCATTTCATTACAGTTAGCGCCAGATGAGTATTTCAGAAACTGGTGATCTACTGGAATTTTCCTGCAAAACCATGTCTAGGGTTTATAGGGTATGGTTCAAAAGAGAAAATGCTTTGTTGATGCCAGAAATCAGAGAAGAATGGCCAGACTGCTTCAAGCTGATACGACAGTAACTCATGTAACCACTGTATGCAGAAGAGAATTTCTGAATCCAATCAAAGCTTGAAGCGGATGGTCTACATCAGCAGAACACCAGCCAGCTAAGGACAGGAAAGTGAGGTTTCAAAACTGGAAAATGCAAGACTGGAAAAACATCACCTGCTCTGTTAAGTCTTCTGCTGAGACATTCACAGGGTAGGTCAGAATTTTGCATCAACAACATGAAAGCATGGATCCATGCTGCCTTCTATTAAAGCTCTGGGCTGGTGGTGACTTATTTTCTTAGCATACTTTGAGCACTTCTAAAGGACAAAGAGGGTAGCATATTGTGGAAAGGAGAGAAATTTTCTCAATGTGCAAACGTGGATTAATGAAGTCACCACACACGAGAACACCTGGAGTCACAGACAAGAGCAGAAATTCACCGCACTGCAGTTTTTTTAAGTCAAAAAAGGAAACTAGTATTTCTCAAAATCTGACTTTTATAGTTTGTATCCTCAGTCACACTCTTTCCCTCCATTGCTGCTGCAGGACTAAGCTTGATCTTTGTGTGCGCTGCAGCGTGAGCGTTTAAGTCTGTCATTACAAAACTAAGAATCTCTATGTTTTACTCATAGATGTAAAAACATATCAGTAGATTTCATCTGAGGGGACACAATGACCTTACTGGACTCCCAAGGCCAACCCATAAAAGTAACATAACACTGTGTTTAGCTGTTAAACAAAATCAGTTTTATTTTGTGATTTACAAATGAAATTGTTAAAGAATAAATTAACATCCCGCAAGTCTGGTGACTGCTTATTCCTCAGGCTCAGAGTTAAATATAGTTTGGTATTTTCGAATTATTTGTTGTTGTTATTTTAATTGATCTATTTAAAATTTAGTTCAGTTCCATTTTAGTTTTTGTTTGACAATGTTGGGTTTTTAGTTTAGTATTTGTTAGTTTCTGTCTTTCCAATTATTGCTGTGTGCAATGACGTGTCATAGTTAAGATTAGTACAGGTATTATTAGAATAACAAATTGTTTGAACGTGTGTCATACTATTATAAACATCCAGAGTCTCAGTAAACTTGTCTTTCAGTGACTCATCAGGCAACTTGTAATGTTTTTTAACCAAACTAAAAATTACTTAAAGATCTGTCCTCTATATTTTCATTTTATTTTAGTTTACAAGTTCTCTTTTTTTTTTTATTCAAGTCCAGATTTTATTTGTGTTTAACGAAAATTGTACTGATCTGTACAATGTAGCTTGCCGTCACCAGTGTGTGTTTGTGAATGGGTGAATGACTGAATGTAGTGTAAAGCGCTTTGGGGTCCTCAGGGACTAAGTAAAGCGCTATACAAATTCAACTCCATTTACCATGAAGTTGAAGCGACAGCAGCGGCCTTTACGGTCCTTTTTGGCCCATTAGACGTCCCGTTGAGCACTTTTCATGACGTCACCGAGCTATTTAAACTCAAGAGAAATATTTTGTTTTCTTAGCGTAGCCGTGTTTACCTAGCAAATACGTCTGTCTTAAAGGTAAGCTTATTTTATTTTTATAGTTGTCGAAATGTTCTTCGTTGTATTTGGACCGTAGCCGTTGTCGTTTAATAGGGCTCAGTAGCACTGCGGTCAAGTGAGCCCTCACTTACGAAGTCGCAGTCAAGCTAGCCGCCCCGCCAGCCGCACCGAAAATGTGGTTGCACTACTCTTACGTATATTACGGTATGGGTGAAAACCGGCTTAGAAACGCAGTGTTTTGTGTCCTGACACTATTTTACTTCACAATCCACTCCCATTTTTAGTGTATCTCCACTTTCCCCCTGTGATCCACAGCCAAAATTACTGTATGATTCAGAGAAAATTAACAATAAAATTTACCCAGTTTACTCAACTGTACTTTTAATGTCCTCATGTTTGACCTCAGATTACAGGAAAACTATAAGAGGTGACGCAGATATTTCACTGGATTATGACTCTGGGTGACCCCACTCTGCACCCTGTCATCCACAGCCAAAATTACTGTACGGATTTTGAGAAAATTCATAGCAAAATCTTCCCATTGTGCTTTACTGTACTCCACATATTAACATCTTTGACCTCCGATTACAGGAAAATTGTAAGAGGTGACGCAGATATTTCACTGGATTCTGACTCTAGGCTGTCGCCACTCTTCACCCTGTGATCCACAGCCAAAATTACTGTATGGTTTTGGAGAAAATTCATAGCAAAAATCTTCCCACTGTGCTTTACTGTACTCTACATATTGACATCTTTGAGCTCAGATTACAGGAAAATTGTAAGAGGTGACACAGATATTTCACTGGATTATGAATCTAGGCCATCTCCACTCTGCACCCTGTGATCCACAGCCAAAATTACTGTACGGTTTTTGGGAAAATCCATAGTAAATATGCACAATTTACTCTACTGTACTCTATATATTCTCATCTTTGAGCTCAGATTACAGGAAAACTATAAGAGGTGACGCAGATATCTCACTGGATTATGACTCTAGGCCATCTCCACTCTTCACCCTGTGATCCACAGCCAAAATTACTGTACGGTTTTTGAGAAAATCCATAGTAAATATGCACAATTTACTCTACTGTACTCTATATATTCTCATCTTTGAGCTCAGATTACAGGGAAACTGTAAGAGGTGACGCAGATATCTCACTGGATTCTGACTCTAGGCTGTCGCCACTCTTCACCCTGTGATCCACAGCCAAAATTACTGTACGGTTTTTGAGAAAATTGATAGTAAACTTTGCACAATTTACTGTACTGTACTCTATATATTCTCATCTTTGAGCTCAGATTACAAGAAAACTATAAGAGGTGACGCAGATATCTCACTGGATTCTGACTCTGGGTGACCCCCACTCTGCATGCTGTCATCCACAGCCAAAATTACTGTACAGTTTTTGAGAAAATTGATAGTAAAATCTTCCCATTTTGCTTTACTGTACTCTACATATTAACATCTTTGAGCTCAGATTACAGGAAAACTGTAAGAGGTGACGCAGATATTTCACTGTATTCTGACTCTAGGCTGTCGCCACTCTTCACCCTGTGATCCACAGCCAAAATTACTGTACGGTTTTTGAGAAAATTGATAGTAAACTTTGCACAATTTACTCTACTGTACTCTATATATTCTCATCTTTGAGCTTAGATTACAGGAAAACTGTAAGAGGTGACGCAGATATCTCACTGGATTCTGACTCTAGGCTGTCGCCACTCTTCACCCTGTGATCCACAGCCAAAATTACTGTACGGTTTTTGAGAAAATTGATAGTAAACTTTGCACAATTTACTGTACTGTACTTTTAATATCCTCGTCTTTAACCTCAGATTACAGGAAAACTGTAAGAGGTGACGCAGATATTTCACTGGATTATGACTCTGGGTGACCCCCACTCTGCACCCTGTGATCCACAGCAAAAATTACTGTACGGATTTTGAGAAAATTGATAGTCTGTACTCTACATATTGACATCTTTGATCTCAGATTACAGGAAAACTATAAGAGGTGACACAGATATCTCACTGGATTCTGACTCTGGGTGACCCCCACTCTGCATGCTGTCATCCACAGCCAAAATTACTGTACGGTTTTTGAGAAAATTGATAGTAAAATCTTCCCATTTTGCTTTACTGTACTCTACATATTAACATCTTTGAGCTCAGATTACAGGAAAACTGTAAGAGGTGACGCAGATATTTCATTGGATTATGAATCTAGGCTGTCGCCACTCTTCACCCTGTCATCCACAGCCAAAATTACTGTACAGTTTTTGAGAAAATTCATGGTAAAATCTTCCCATTTTGCTTTACTGTACTCTACATATTGACATCTTTGAGCTCAGATTACAGGAAAACTGTAAGAGGTGACGCAGATATTTCACTGGATTCTGACTCTGGGTGACCCCCACTCTGCACCCTGTGATCCACAGCCAAAATTACTGTACGGTTTTTGAGAAAATTGATAGTAAACTTTGCACAATTTACTCTACTGTACTCTATATATTCTCATCTTTGAGCTCAGATTACAGGAAAACTGTAAGAGGTGACGCAGATATTTCACTGGATTATGAATCTAGGCTGTCGCCACTCTGCACCCTGTGATCCACAGCCAAAATTACTGTATGGATTTTGAGAAAATTCATAGCAAAATCTTCCCATTTTGCTTTACTGTACTCTACATATTGACATCTTTGGCCTCAGATTACAGGAAAACTGTAAGAGGTGACGCAGATATCTCACTGGATTATGACTCTGGGTGACCCCCACTCTGCACCCTGTGATCCACAGCCAAAATTACTGTACGGATTTCTGATAAAATTAAATCCTATTCCATTACCAAACAAAATGAGTTCATTGAAGTATTTGCTTAACTACAAGAAATGTCTTTCCACACACAATTTAAATTTTTCAAAATGTCATTCACACACCACCTCAAGTATCAACTTCAGTTTTAGACATTATTTATTCAGTGCTTAATCACAACAATAGTCAATTTAAGGCACTTACATAATAAGTTAAACCTTACAATAATACATACAGAGAAAAACCCAACAATCATATGACCCCTATGAGCAACAGTGGGAAGGAAAAACTCCCTTTTAACAGGAAGAAACCTCCGGCAGAACCAGGCTCAGGGAGGGGCGGCCATCTGCCTCAACCGGTCAGGGTGAGAAATTACATTTCTCAGATTACTGATTTCTCATATTACTACTACACAGTTTAGATACACTCAACAAAAATATAAACGCAACACCTTTGTTACTGCTCCCATTCCCCATGGGATGGACATAGAGACCGAAAATTCATTCCAGATACACAATATAACCATCCCTCCCAAACAGTGGTCACAAATCAGTCCAAATGTGTGGTAGTGGGCACATCTGCCATATTGAGATAATCCATCCCACCTCACAGGTGTGCCACATCAGGATGCTGATCTGACATCATGAGTAGTGCACAGGTGTACCTCAGACTGCCCACAACAAAAGGCCACCCTGGAATGTGCAGTTTTGTCTCACAGCAAAATGCCACAGATGCCACAAGCAATGAGGGAGCGTGCAATTGGCATGCTGACAGCAGGAATGTCAACCAGATCTGTCGCCCGTGCATTGAATGTTCATTTCTCAACCATAAGCCGTCTCCACAGGCGTTTCAGAGGATATGGCAGCACACCCAACCGGCCTCACAACCGCAGACCTCGTGTAACCACACCAGCCCAGGACCTCCACATCCAGCAGGTTCACCTCCAAGATCGTCTGAGACCAGCCACCCAGACAGCTGCTGGAACAATTGGTTTGCACAACCAAACAATTTCTGCACAAACTGTCAGAAACCGTCTCAGGGACGCTCAACTGCATGCCCGTCGTCCTCATCGGGGTCTTGACCTGACTCCAGCTCGTCGCCGTAACAGACTTGTGTGGGCAAATGCTCACATTCGATGGCATCTGGCACGTTGGAGAGGTGTGCGCTTCACGGATGAATCATGGTTCACATTGTTCAGGGCAGATGGCAGCTGAGAATGTCCCAGTTCTTGCATGGCCAGCATACTCACCGGACATGTCACCCATTGAGCATGTTCGGGATGTGCTTGACCGGCGTATACGACAGCGTGTACCAGTTCCCACGAATATCCAACAACCTCGCACAGCCATTGAAGTGGAGTGGACCAACATTCCACAGGCCACAATTGACAATCTGATAGACTCCATGCGACGATGTGTTGCACTGCATGAGGCAAATGGTGGTCACACCAGATACTGACCGGTTCTGGGTCCCCAGACCCCCAATAGCACAAAAAACTGCACATTCCAGGGTGGCCTTTTGTTGTGGGCAGTCTGAGGTACACCTGTGCACTACTCATGATGTCAGATCAGAATCAGAATCAGAATCAGAATGGGTTTATTGCCAGATGTTGAGGTTTACAACATTAGGAAATTGCTGCGGTGCTTCAGTGCAGACAATAAGAATTAAAGTGCTATGTAGAAAGAAAGATATGTGCATGCGATATACATGAGATATATACATGAGAATAAGAATTATGAGTGCTACGTAGAAAGATATATACATGAGTGCAGGTGGTGATCAGTGCCAAACATGAAATGATGCAGTGACACAACGTAGGGTCATGTGTTAGTGGCGGGGACAATCATGTGGTTATTGTTCATGTGTCCAACAGCAGAGGGGAAGAAACTGTTCTTGTGGCGAGAGGTTCTGGTGCGAATGGACCGGAGCCTCCTGCCTGAGGGGAGCAGGTCAAACAGACTGTGTCCAGGGTGAGAAGGGTCAGCTGAGATCCGAGCTGCACGCCGCAGTGTCCTGGAGGTGTACAGGTCCTGCAGAGATGGGAGTCTGCAGCCAATCACCTTCTCAGCAGAGCGCACAACACGCTGCAGTCTCTGTTTGTCCCTGATAGTGGCTCCAGCGTACCACACGGTGATGGAGGAGGTGAGGATGGACTCGATGATTGCAGTGTAGAATTGCATCATCGTCCGTGTTGGCAGGTTGAATTTCTTCAGCTGCCTCAGGAAGTACATCCTCTGCTGGGCTTTCTTAATGACGGAGGTGATGGTGGGCTCCCACTTCAGGTCCTGGGTGATGGTGGTACCCAGGAAGCGGAATGAGTCCACAGAGGTGATGGGGGTGTCAGTCAGGATGATGGGGGGGAGTGGGGCTGTGTGCTTCCTGAAGTCCACAATAATCTCCACTGTCTTCTGGGCATTCAGCACCAGGTTGTTGTGGCTGCACCAAGACACCAGACGTTCAACCTCCCTCCTGTAGGCAGACTCGTCCCCGTCCGAGATGAGCCCAATGACGGTGGTGTCATCTGCGAACTTGATTAGCTTGAGAGACTGGTGGGTGGAGGTGCAGCAGTTGGTGTACAGGGAGAAGAGCAGAGGAGAAAGAACACAGCCCTGAGGGGAGCCGGTGCTGATGGTCCGGGAGTCCGAGACATTCTTACCCAGCCTCACGTGCTGCTTCCTGTCCGTCAGGAAGTCAGTGATCCACCGGCAGATGGGATCAGGCACATTCATCTGGGAAAGCTTGCCTCGGAGATGGTCTGGAAGGATGGTGTTGAAGGCAGAGCTGAAGTCCACAAACAGGATCCTGGCGTAGGTTCCTGGGGAGTCCAGATGCTGTATCAGCATGGTGTGCCACATCAGCATCCTGATGTGGCACACCTGTGAGGTGGGATGGATTATCTCAATATGGCAGATGTGCCCACTACCACACATTTGGACTGATTTGTGACCACTGTTTGGGAGGGATGGTTATATTGTGTATCTGGAATGAATTTTCGGTCTCTATGTCCATCCCATGGGGAATGGGAGCAGTAACAAAGGTGTTGCGTTTATATTTTGTTGAGTGTATCTAAACTGTGTAGTAGTAATATGAGAAATCAGTAATCTGAGAAATGTAATTTCTCACCCTGACCGGTTGAGGCAGATGGCCGCCCCTCCCTGAGCCTGGTTCTGCCGGAGGTTTCTTCCTGTTAAAAGGGAGTTTTTCCTTCCCACTGTTGCTCATAGGGGTCATATGATTGTTGGGTTTTTCTCTGTATGTATTATTGTAAGGTTTAACTTATTATGTAAGTGCCTTAAATTGACTATTGTTGTGATTAAGCACTGAATAAATAATGTCTAAAACTGAAGTTGATACTTGAGGTGGTGTGTGAATGACATTTTGAAAAATTTAAATTGTGTGTGGAAAGACATTTCTTGTAGTTAAGCAAATACTTCAATGAACTCATTTTGTTTGGTAATGGAATAGGATTTAATTTCATCAGAAATCCGTACAGTAATTTTGGCTGTGGATCACAGGGTGATGAGTGGAGATGGCCTAGATTCAGAATCCAGTGAAATATCTGTGTCACCTCTTACAGTTTTCCTGTAATCTGAGCTCAAAGATGTCAATATATAGAGTATAGTACAGTAAATTGTGCAAAGTTTACTATCAATTTTCTCAAAATCCGTACAGTAATTTTGGCTGTGGATGACAGGGTGCAGAGTGGCGACAGCCTAGATTCAGAATCCAGTGAAATATCTGCGTCACCTCTTACAGTTTTCCTGTAATCTGAGCTCAAAGATGAGAATATATAGAGTATAGTACAGTAAATTGTGCAAAGTTTACTATCAATTTTCTCAAAAACCGTACAGTAATTTTGGCTGTGGATCACAGGGTGAAGAGTGGAGATGGCCTAGATTCAGAATCCAGTGAAATATCTGTGTCACCTCTTACAGTTTTCCTGTAATCTGAGCTCAAAGATGTCAATATGTAGAGTATAGTACAGTAAATTGTGCAAAGTTTACTATCAATTTTCTAAAAAACCGTACAGTAATTTGGGCTGTGGATAACAGGGTGAAGAGTGTGGGTCACCCAGAGTCATAATCCAGTGAGATATCTGCGTCACCTCTTACAGTTTTCCTGTAATCTAAGCTCAAAATGAGAATATATAGAGTACAGTAGAGTAAATTGTGCAAAGTTTACTATCAATTTTCTCAAAAACCGTACAGTAATTTTTGCTGTTGATCACAGAGTGAAGAGTGGCAACAGCCTAGAGTCAGAATCCAGTGAAATATCTGCGTCACCTCTACAGTTTTCCTGTAATCGGAACTCAAAGATGTCAATATGTAGAGTACAGTAAAGCAAAATGGGAAGAGTTTACTATGAATTTTCTCAAAATCCATACAGTAATTTTTGCTGTGGATGACAGGGTGCAGAGTGGAGATGGCCTAGATTCATAATCCAGTGAAATATCTGTGTCACCTCTTACAATTTTCCTGTAATCTGAGCTCAAAGACGAGGATATTAAAAGTACAGTAGAGTAAATTGTGCAAAGTTTACTATCAATTTTCTCAAAAACCGTACAGTAATTTTGGCTGTGGATCACAGGGTGAAGAGTGGCGACAGCCTAGAGTCAGAATACAGTGAGATATCTGCGTCACCTCTTATAGTTTTCCTGTAATCTGAGGCCAAAGATGTCAATATGTAGAGTACAGTAAAGCAAAATGGGAAGATTTTGCTATGAATTTTCTCAAAATCCATACAGTAATTTTGGCTGTGGATGACAGGGTGAAGAGTGGCGACAGCCTAGATTCAGAATCCAGTGAAATATCTGCGTCACCTCTTATAGTTTTCCTGTAATCGGAGCTCAAAGATGTCAATGTATAAAGTACAGTAAAGCAAAATGGGAAGATTTTACTATCAATTTTCTCAAAAACTGTACAGTAATTTTGGCTGTGGATCACAGCATGCAGAGTGGGGGTCACCCAGAGTCAGAATCCAGTGAGATATCTGCGTCACCTCTTTCAGTTTTCCTGTAATCTGAGCTCAAAGATGAGGACATTAAAAGTATAGTTGAGTAAATTGGGTAAATTTTATTGTTAATTTTCTCTGAATCATACAGTAATTTGGGCTGTGGATCACAGGGGTGAAAGTGGAGATTAACCAAAACTGGGAGTGGATTGTGAAGTAATGTAGTGTCAGGACAAACACTGTGTTTCTAAGCCAGTCGGCACCGATACCGTAATATGCGTAAGAGTAGTGCAACAACATTTTAGGTGCGGCTGGCGGTGCGGCTAGCTTGACTGTGACTTCGTAAGTGACGGCTCACTTGACCGCAGTTCAGTAGCTAACTAGCGACTCATTTTATTGTTTTATATCAGGTGTGCATAATTATTAGGCAACGTCCTTTCCTTTGGCAAAATGGGTCAAAAGAAGGACTTGACAGGCTCAGAAAAGTCAAAAGTAGTGAGATATCTTGCAGAGGGATGCAGCAGTCTCAAAATTGCAAAGCTTCTGAAGCGTGATCATCGAACAATCAAGCGTTTCATTCAAAATAGTCAACAGGGTCGCAAGAAGCGTGTGGAAAAACCAAGGCGCAAAATAACTGCCCATGAACTGAGAAAAGTCAAGCGTGCAGCTGCCAAGATGCCACTTGCCACCAGTTTGGCCATATTTCAGAGCTGCAACATCACTGGAGTGCCCAAAAGCACAAGGTGTGCAATACTCAGAGACATGGCCAAGGTAAGAAAGGCTGAAAGACGACCACCACTGAACAAGACACACAAGCTGAAACGTCAAGACTGGGCCAAGAAATATCTCAAGACTGATTTTTCTAAGGTTTTATGGACTGATGAAATGAGAGTGAGTCTTGATGGGTCAGATGGATGGGCCCGTGGCTGGATTGTTAAAGGGCAGAGAGCTCCAGTCCGACTCAGACGCCAGCAAGGTGGAGGTGGAGTACTGGTTTGGACTGGTATCATCAAAGATGAGCTTGTGGGGCCTTTTCGGGTTGAGGATGGAGTCAAGCTCAACTCCCAGTCCTACTGCCAGTTTCTGGAAGACACCTTCTTCAAGCAGTGGTACAGGAAGAAGTCTGCATCCTTCAAGAAAAACATGATTTTCATGCAGGACAATGCTCCATCACACGCGTCCAAGTACTCCACAGCGTGGCTGGCAAGAAAGGGTATAAAAGAAGAAAAACTAATGACATGGCCTCCTTGTTCACCTGATCTGAACCCCATTGAGAACCTGTGGTTCATCATCAAATGTGAGATTTACAAGGAGGGAAAACAGTACACTTCTCTGAACAGTGTCTGGGAGGCTGTGGTTGCTGCTGCACGCAATGTTGATGGTGAACAGATCAAAACACTGACAGAATCCATGGATGGCAGGCTTTTGAGTGTCCTTGCAAAGAAAGGTGGCTATATTGGTCGCTGATTTGTTTTTGTTTTGTTTTTGAATGTCAGAAATATATATTTGTGAATGTGGAGATGTTATATTGGTTTCACTGGTAAAAATAAATAATTGAAATGGGTATATATTTGTTTTTTGTTAAGTTGCCTAATAATTATGCACAGTAATAGTCACCTACACACACAGATATCCCCCTAAAATAGCTAAAACTAAAAACTACTTCCTAAAACATTCAGCTTTGATATTAATGAGTTTTTTGGGTTCATTGAGAACATGGTTGTTGTTCAATAATAAAATTATTCCTCAAAAATACAACTTGCCTAATAATTCTGCACTCCCTGTAGTGTTCATCTCCAGTAGGTGGTGTAGAGGGTTATCAGATCAATAGCTCACCTTTTGATCACCTCTTTGTCAGCTGATGAAAGAATCCATGTAATCTGTTGAGAATAGATTCCTTAATGTACATCAAAGTTAAAGAGAACATAGTTGTGATTGCTTGCAATGGTAATAAAAGGATTGTGCAAAACATGGAAACATCTCAGCGTGATCTCTACCAGGACCAAAAGAATCTCAGAGACCGATGTTGTCTCACAAAATCCATGTGACAATAAGTGTTTTGATTTTTGAAACATCTCATGTCCAGGATTCATCAAATTGCTTCTCAGTGCTCAGATTAACGTCCCTGTCAATCCAAAAAGTCCTGAAGGTGAGTGAAGTCGCACTTTAGTTAACTGTAAAACCCTTGTTCATCCAAATGCTTAACAATCCTTCTGATGACTGCTGTAACACCTCCAGCACCTTCCAGGATTACAGGCCTAGCTTTAAGTGAGTTTAACTTTGCACCTTAAATACTAAACAGTAATATCCACGTATTTACTGCAAACTATAAATTTATTTTTTTATCATCAAAATGAAACAGCTGTGGACCACATGGAGCCTATATCTATTTGCATGTGTAGGCTACTTCCAAAGGTAGTAGCTTTAAAATGATTTGAGCCACTTCAGATCCTATCTGGATCCACATCATCAAGCGATTGAACTAATTGATTTCCAGCCTCCAACTTCCGACTCAGAAATCAATCTCTGTACATGTGGTTTTCCTAATGCCTCTGGAAGAGAGATGGGAGGAGGACTCTTCAAACAACCAATTGTTTGTATTCACAGCTGATTATTTCAGCTGACAGTTTGAATGTCCAAATATTTTTGTCATTAGTTTTGTTTTTTTTGTCCTTTTATTTGAGAGTCAGGACCAGTGCAGGTGAGTTCATCATTATGCATTGACAGCCTTTGTCACCATGTACAGATGAAGGACCCACTGCAGGAAAATATGCAGAGATCCATGCTGCGCTGCAGGAAGTGTCGGAAAAGCATCATAGACTCAACATGTTTTTTAACGGTAACAGTTTATTTTAAAATCCTAAATGTGTTTTCTTTCATTAACTTCATAGTTTACTTTAGGAGACGTTTTATGGTATTTGATTGGGAAATTAATGTGTGACAGAAGCTAAAACAAAACTCACAAAAAAGCAAATTTGGCCCAGTCTTTTAATGCGGCTTCAGTTCATTGAGGTTTATGGACCAGACCTCAAACTAATAGAGCTCTAGTCCACAGATGTACAGAGGAGTTCATGGTCGACCCAATAACTAAAGATGCTTAGGTCCCATGGCTGCAAAACAAGCCCAAATCATCACCACCTCCACCACTGGACTGTAGAAAGTCGTGTGAAAACATCCTTTCTCACATGGCACTAACTGGCTATCAGTACCTGAGAAGCTGTTTTTTTTCATGTAAACCGTCTCGGCTGTCTGTGTGTTTTTTGCTTTGGAGCAGATTCCGTACACAGATGAAGCCTCTGCTGATGTTTGCAGTATTTGGCACCTCGATGTTGACATATTGCCAGAGTAGATTTTGACCTCAGTTCACCAAGTGAGTGTGACCCGTGTGAACAAAGATAATATGTCAACATTTTTATTTAGTTATTATTATTTTTTTTTTAAAGCTGTGTTGACTGTTATTGTTGGAAGAGGAGCAAGAAACTGAAAAAAGTTAATCTTTAAGCTTTGTTCCTTTGGTGTCCCCAGACCCAGTGGACTGCTGGAAAACTCAACTGCCAGAATTGTAGAGCTCGCCTGGGAGGCTTCAACTTTATTAATCGCAGTCAGTGTCCCTGTGGCACTGACGCCTCCATTCACTTCAGCAAAAGCCGCCTGGATTACGACCACAAGCACTCCATCCTGATGGGCCAGCCTTTAAGGTCGAGGCTCAACAGGGGACAGATGGACATTTCTCAGAATCACGAGGAGAGGGCTGAGTTTAGCACGACTACACTGGATAGATTTCAGGATTTTAACTGTGCTGCTACAATGCCCCATGAGAGTCCTATGGAGGCCTCAAATCCACAAACTGATGGGCGAACTCCTGTAGAAAGAGAAAATGCTCGCTGGAAGAGTGTGCCAGCTTTCTGTGGTCGTGATTTTTACCCTGATGTTGTCTCACATCCTGCAAGCGAGCAGCTTCACACAGATGGTGAAGCCTCTTCATCTGTTTCTGAGGGTACCCAGCCGCCTCTGGATCTGCATCTCCTGCTAACAGAGGAGGGTGTTGAGTCTTCTGTAGAGACTGCAGCTCTCTGCGACGAGGTCTCTGATCCTGCTGTGTTTCTCAGAAGGAGATGGATCTCTGACAGTGTCTCTGAGCATGAAGAAGAACCAGTGGTATATTCATTTTTATTTATTTATTTTCTCTCTGTTTGGATTTATTGTAAACTATCTTTAACCTGCCAGACCACGTGATTACGTGTGAGTACAGAGTAGTAGAAGTAATGGTCAAGTGAATTCTCGACTCTGTTACTGACTTTCATCCCAAAACCACACTGAGTATTTCCAGTGTTCAGAATGCATCTGAATTTGGGGGGGGGGCTGAAACCTTGGCAAGGTTATTTCCCATTTTCAGTCTAACTTAGCAGCCAAGAGAGTTTTAAGGCACGGTTAACCTCATTCTCATATAGCAATGTATGCTGTAGCCTACCATAGCTGGTGGGCAGATAACTTCCAAAGTGAGCAGCAAAGTGGTCCAATGGGATTGTCACCTACAGCAAGAAGGTCCTGGGTTCAAATCCAATGACTAGGACCTCTGTGCGAGGTTTGCATGTTTTCCCCATGTCTGCGTGCTCTGGCTTCCTCCCACACTCCATAGACCAGAATATTGGGTTAAACTGTGATTCTAACTTGGCTGTAAGTGTGAATGTGGTTGTTTTTCTCTCCAAGTTAACTCTGTGACAGATTGATGACCCTGTGTTCCCAACCTCTTGCCCCCTGATAGACAGCCCAAACTTGTGGTTAAACTGTCTGCTTGCATACCAGTGGGAAAAAAAATTCACTAGCTGATAGATTCTGTTGTTTGAGCTGCTAAATAAGTGACGTGTGTTATTGTCTCAGCCTCAAACCTCTGTCGGCTCCCCACCCTCAAACAGCCTTAGCAAAAAAGAGAAGACCCATATGAAGAGTGTGAGACTGAAACAAAGGAGGAGAGAGAGAGATGGCTGCAACACCAGAATGAGAAAGCACTGGTGAGAGAGCAAGGTTCACACTGAGTTAGTGTCAGTATGAAGGATGCAATCAAGTGGCAGCTGCTGTGGCTGAAAAAGGAAGCCAACATGGAAGTGCTGAAAACTGCAGCTTCTCCAATGATTCCTTCGTTCTAGCTCAAAAAGCAGGGCAGTCCCCATTATCATGGTAAAATACCCCAAAACATTACAGCATAAAAAATCTGTTTGGCACAGAATGGGGGCTTTGGCCTCTGTGGATAGTTTTCCCTTCATAACAACTCTATTTTAAGACTGAAACTTGAGGCTGTGGCTGCTTTATTTGATGGGGCTGATAGCTCTGCTGGACTTCACCTAAGTGTTTGTATGTTGGTGACTTTTAGATGCATTTTAATAAAATGATCTGATTTGGCTTGCTGTGTATAGATGGAAGACCAAATGCATGAAGGCCGTGCTTCAGTTGTGGTTAGCGAAAATCCAGTGTTTTAGTAGTCTGCTGTTTGGCACTAATCAGCTGAAGTGCGTTTCCCTGTGGTGTGCAAAAGTCTGTGAACTGAAGTGACATGGTAAAGAAGAGTGTGCCAAAATTCCTCCACAATGATGTGAGAGACTGAGTCATACAGAAAATCATTACTTAAAGTTGCTGTTGAAGGTGGTTCTAGATGTTGTTGAATCACGGAGTGTAGTTTTTCATATGACTGCCTGGAGTCCTGTGAAAACCTTCAGACATAACTGTATCCGTAAGTGTAGAAAAACACTATATAAGAACCAGTGCAGTTACCATATGCATGTAATAATGAGCAGGACTTAAATTATTTTAGATACAAGATTCAAAATGTGATCTGGGCAGTTTCTCCTCCAAAGTATGCTTGTAGAAGCGTTTTTTCCCTCCGCCGTTTGGGACCAAAAAATAAAAACTCGGATGTTTATGTCCAGGCTGAACATGTGAGAGTTTTGCTGCTGGATGATGATGAGGAGGAGGAGGAGCACCAGGAGAACAGGGAGAACCTCACCTGTGCTGTCTGTCTGGATGTCTACTTCAGTCCTCACAGAAGTCAGCCCTGTGGTCATGTCTTCTGTGAGCCATGTCTTCGCGCACACGCCATGAACAGTGGAAATGACAAGACCACCTGCCCTCTCTGCCGGGATGTCATCTTATACACCAACTTACAAACTGGTACGTTTGTTAATTCGCTCTTTGTGTTCAGAATAGCAAACATTTTCTGGTGAGGACATGCTCTTTAGTTCGTCCCCTGTTCTGTCTTCTTCAGAGCTCAATCAAAGGGCAAAAACCTTTTTCCCAAAACTTTACAAGGCTCGCAAGTGTGAATTTGAGGCTTCGCCGTGTGCATCATGGCCTCTGCCTGAAGGTGAGAAGCTTTGCTGTTTAGTTTAATTTGTTTTTATTTGACTAGGAAGTGTTTCCAGTGTAATACTGTGACAGAAAAGTCTGGATTATCCCGTTTCTGTGAAGGTTGACAAAAGAAAAAATGCATGAAGTAGTTTTCAATCTCAGCTCACATTGCATCAGGACCTTGGTTCTGAGGAAGCAATAAATGGTATTGCTTTATCGCCTTGCTTTAGTGTCTGTAGGGTATTTTATCTTTACACAGCTGGTTGTAAACTGTTAAAACAATAACTGAAACTGGAGTTAAAATCGATATAGTTAGGTTTGCAAACCAGACAGAGCATTCCTCCACTTAAAAGCTTTTAGTCTCTTATGGTGGATAGATGATTCAATTTTATTTATACAGCACCAAATCACAACATCAGTCACCTCAAGGTGCTTTATATTGTAAAATAGACGCTACAATAATACTGCCTGTGATAACTGTGACACCCAGAGAAAGAAGCATCAGAACTTAAAGTTTTGGAATGGGACCAGTTCTGATTTGACAATAGATATTTATGTCTTTGGGAAATATATAATTTTTAATTCTTTAAATGTAACACACTTATGTACACTTGGGGTTGTGATACATGTATGTATTCACTTGAACCCCTTAGTTGTGTGCCTGAGGTGACCATATTGGAGTTACTCCCTCTTACTCACAAACAAATCCAAGAGAAGATGACATTGTGTGAAACTGAGGAGTGTGTGGAGCAGTCTGAAGCCTGAGCTTCTGGTTTCTCGATCAGGGCATAAAACCATAATTATGTTTGTTTTGAGATCATGATTATTTACCACTATTATGGTCACTTTTTTCCCTTGAGCTTTAATTAAAATTCAAATGAAATATACTCAAAATGTTAATAAATAAATGAACTAAACCTTTCACAGCAGCCTGGCAACGAGTGAATCTGGACTTTCATGGAGAAACAAGAGTAAAAGAAAAGTTTGCTGAAGGGCAAAAGGAGTAAATTATTGAACAGAATGCAGTTCAGTTCACTCATTTTGTTTTAATACTTGTTATAAATCCAAATTAATTACTCGGATAACCTCTATTATTTTTACATGTTCAGACATGTCATGTCTAATGTGAGTATCTAGCACTGGCACAATAATAGAACCTAAAATAAGGAAAAAACCTGAGTCCCATTAAAAAAATGTCTGGTTTTCTAACTTGAATTCTTTATGTAGAGCTCCTTATGTTATTGCAGAGCAAAAGTAAAGGAAAGAAACTGATGAGAGATTGAAGGATTTGATGGTTGTGAATAGACTCAGGCAGAATTACCAGATGAAGGTTTCTGGCTGAGGAAATGATGTGTAGTGCGCTTATCTGCCGAATGAATTGAATATTTTCATATGTTTGTTTCATCTAAAAGCTAATCATTGTTTTATAGGTTTAATATTCTTCCACTTTATAAAATTCTGCTCTTATCAAAGGTTTATTTGTATTTGGAGAAATTTTTTTCCCCGTTAAACATGTATCACTTTGTAAAATATAAAATTTGTATTTCTGTTGTTTAAAAGAATAACATTTTGAACCTCGGCACAAATAATGACATTACACACAAATTTTGATTGGTCATTAAATGTGGAACATTTCATCTCTTTCTCATTAGGTATCAGAGACGAAGATTTTCCCGTGCTTCATTTTTACGGAGTGCAATTGGGCCACATTTTGTTAAAGATATTTTTTGTCATCAGCTGCATCCTGTGCTGTGTCCTGGTTCTAGTGTTCCTCTGTTTTATCCTATTCCTCTGCTGTTTTAGACCTTATGGTCTAATTGCATCATTTCTTCCAGATTAGGCCTACTGAATCGCATGTCGGATGTTAATAGAGTCCGGGAATACCTCTGAAACAACAGAGGGCATGTGAGACATTTGCAGAAATTGTTGAGAAAAGTTTATAGTATTGAGTGTGATTAGGGTTTAATAACTACCTAATTACTTGAAAAATCTTCAGTCTGATGATTTTTGTCCTGCTAACATAACAAAGCACAGAACTGCAAAACTGAGCTTCTTGTGTCGTGTTCACTAAGGTCACTTGACAGCAATTTGAATTTTGAATGCCATATTTCTTACATTCAAAGGTGCCAAGCTTTGAGGCATCACCTGAAAACGACCGTATCAGTGTTTTTATTTTTTTCAATCATCTGCTGAAAACTGTTTCATAGGTCTTTCTGTCCGTCATGTTTCACAACGTATGGATGTGAAAAAAATTGAATGTAAGTACATATCCTTGACTTATGTACACTTTATCCAAACTGTGAAGCACTTTGTGTTTTCAAAAGTGCCATCCAAAGATCTTGCTGCTGTTCCATTTTCTGTATCAAATGTACAGAGACACGCTGCTTCTGTGAAATGTAATCCATACCAGGAGTCTCAATAAAGGTTAGCTGGCTGATTTTTGGTTGAAAATGTGTTTTTATTTATGGTTTTTAACTCATTGGAAAATGCTAAACTATAATAACTGCTCGGTACACCTGTTTTGGGCACTTTCTCTCATTCTTCTCAGAACCTCTCAAGTTTGACGGGGAGCGCTGGTGCACAGCCGTTTTCAGATCAGTCGAGTTAGTCTGGGCCCTGACTGGACCACTTAAGGGCGCTCACAGAGTGGGCCCAAAGCCCCTCCTTTGTCTCTCTTTACCCAGCTAAATCAGCAAACACCTGGTCAGGAGCAGGTTTTAAATTGTGGTTTAAAAATGGCTGAAGCACCATGTAATTAAATGATTAAAATTCTCTGCTGCTGCAATGTCGTTCTTTAGTAAAACCACGATATAAAGCACAAAATGTGCATTGCATAGTTGCATGCAATAATGTGGTGATGGAGAAAATCTATACATGTTCTTATACTTGATTCTAATCTAAATCAGTATCTGCTGACAAAGAAAGCCCTAAATCACCACATTAATGTTTTTCTGTCCCAGTATATTTTGCGTTTTACTGTTATGTTTGTTTTATTCATTTCAGATTTTTATCATCATCTAACTGTGAGTCTGATTGGCGCAGGCAGTACTCGGAGAGCATTTTGGTCAGAAGTCACATGACCTTGATATTTGAGCATACATGGCGCCTGCAGCAGAGAGCCTGGTTTAACAGATAAAGTTGATAACCACCATAATGATGCTGGTTATTTCACACTGGGGTCTGAGGTTGCATCAAGCTAGCTTAAAGCACAGGAAGCTGTAATCTAGCCATCAAGTGTCTGTATTTTGAAGCCTAGTTTCTTTACATACATGACATAACAGTAAAAAAGATGGATGAAGTTACATGATTCATTCATTCAAGTCATACTTTGAAGCCTTGAGATGAGCATTTATGCTGACAAGGTCTTGGTTTCTTAAAAAAAAAGAAGTTACCCCATGTCTGATATTGGGGTTGTTTCCAGGACTCCTTTTTTAATAAGGTGGCACACTGGGGACTAAAGAAACGTAGCTTTGTTTTCACCTGTTTTTTTTGTAGTGAATATCTTCATTTAAACCAGGGATGTCAAACTTAATGTCATAGGCCACATGCAACCCACTTCGACCAGTGAAAGGGAGGTGGGCTGCTGCCACCACACAGTCCACTTCGCACACGCCCCTGACTGATATGCAGTAGGTAATGAGTTTAAAAAACGTGCATCTCGTGGATGCAAGAAAATCATATCGTTTGTCCTGTATGCACAGAAACGGTTAATTTTCAGTCGGAGGGTGACGACTTGTTTTGCCGTTGGCTCTCTCTGTATCCTCCGCACACGTGAGCGTGGGGCGGAAGACGGAGGAGCCTCCCTGTCGGCCTTCAGGAGGGGCTGAAGGTGACTCTCCGCTCGGCTGGGATGTGGAGGGAGCTGCTGGGATATCTTTTCTGATCCTGTTCTGGGGAACAGTCACGCACCGCTGCGGGAGGGGGCTTTAGGCATTAAGCAGGGGGGGGGAAAGAAAAGCCCACACCCAGCAGCGTCTGCGTGTCGTCTTCTTCTCCACAGAGGACACAGCAGCCACCAGAAAAGAGAGGGCATCGCTCGCTGCGTCTGGCTCGGCTCCGGTGGTGGGTGTGCATGCATGTGTTCTGCACCGTATGGGCGGAAAAAACGCCCAAGATCCACAGGGAGCATCTTTCCGCTCGGTAAAGCGGCGCAGACGGAGACGGATCGCCGGGAGAGTACTGAGGGGGCTGTGGACGACAGCAGGATGGTGGGTACTGAAATAAGGATCGTAGTCATGTCTGTTAATGATTAACTTGAGCTCAGCTCTGCACCAAAGGACAGATTCATGCGTGTAAATCCGACTTTTTTACGCGCAGGTGCAGCAGCATTGGCGCATAATGGATAAAAAGCGTCGCGATGAGCCACATTAAGAGTGTGTTTGTTGTATTTGTTGCATTTGAAATCACACACAGTAATATCGTGTCCTTCCTGATCGCGTGATGGTTTGTTTTCCTTAAGACTGTGCAGGAATTCAACACCCTCGTAGCGCTGTACCGGGAGCAGGTCATCTCCGTCGGCGAGATCTCCGCCGACTGTCCTTCTCTGCGGGCTCAGATGCACCACACACGGTCCAAAGGATGCTCCATGGCCCGGGCTGCGCACCAGGACCTCGCCGTCATCTCTGTTTCGGGGTTAGACACGAGTTTGAATGATAATATTTTTTTAAGAAGAAACTGTGGCTCCCTCATTTATTGAATTTATTTTGTCTTTTTTTAAAACGTTTATGAGCTAACGTTTATTCAGGTAGAACAGGTGAGCATCACAGAGTGTATTTTAAGTTAAATCAGTAAAGCAACAATTTTGAAAAAGGAGTCAGTGATAGATTTTATCCACAGTTAGTCACACATATACACATATTTTATTTTATTAAGTGAAGGTTAAATATGCTAGATACTAGGTGTTCCCAATCAGGGATACATACAAGCGGGATACTAATCAATCAGTTATCTAAACAACTACAACTGATGAATTAGCTTTGAGCAGAAAAGGTAACAGTTAATGCAAAATAAGACTTAGAATATAGACAAAATAAATTAATTTGTGACTGTAATAGAAAAGTAATGATCAAAATAAAAGGTAGGAATAAAAGGTTGAAAAAGCACGATTAGAAAAATATTACATGCATTAAACAGTTTAATATAAACTTAACAGAAAAACGTGGCTAAATTATGAATGAAAAGTTATAGATTATTGTTGATTTGAGACCACAAAAAATGAAAAAAAACAACAACAAAAAAATGGTTTAAATACAGTAAAAATATAAGTAGAACTTATTTAGCTAAAAGTTTGTCTAGCAGTTTAATTGTTACGTATTGGTGTGGAATAACAGATGAAACTATTGACTGCGAGTGTCTGATTCTCCTCTCCTTAATGCTGCAGTCCAGAGGACGGGGAGATCCATCCCGAGATCTGTCGGCTCTTCATCCAGCTGCAGTGCTGCCTGGAGATGTTCATAACGGAGATGCTCAAGTCGATGTGCCTGCTGGGGGTGCTGCAGCTACACAGAAAAAGTACAGTTACAGTAGTGAACACACGGTGTGATGATGCTGAATTGCTGAGTAAAGATAAAAAATAAAAACCGCCTGTGGCCAGGTGTTTGAGTGTAGTATTTAAAAGCCAAGTGTAGTATTTAAAAGCTTTAAAAATCAAGTGTTACTCCCAACTGATTTCATTTTGCTTTCAGATAACAAGAATATTATTATTGTTGTTTTAACCACCTTCCAAGTGCAATATGCTGCTACCATGGATATTATGTTTTGGTTTGTTTGGGCTGTGTTTGTATAGTCGGAGTAATTGGATATATATGCCCAATAACGCACAGTACAGATGTTTGATGCAGCTTGATGAGATGCAGACTTTACAACCTGAAATCCCCAAAAGACCTGAGTGGATGTTTGTGGTTCAACTTATAAATATTTCTGACGTATATGGAGAAAAAAGTTCCGTGTTTTCCAGGCAGTTGTGCAGCATGTCTTGCATTTTGTGCTAATGGCTTAGTCACACTTGGAGTAAAAGTAGAACACTCCTTATGACTAGTATATCACCAGGTGGTTGCTTGGTGATTGCAGTGATTATTCTTCACTTTCATCAACCAGTTGCAAGTCGTTGCAGTAACCAATTGCTTGTTCAAAGGTGACAAATTCATCTTCTGGGGGAACACATTTGTGTACAGGTCGCCTCATGGTAGCTGCTGTCTCCAACCAATCTCACTCCGATTTGTGAATGATCACCGTGTAACAGCACTTTGACCAGACCCTTTGTCACTGTGCAGTTAAGTTGCCATCCTGCAGCAACTACATCACTACTTGTACACTACAGTGAATTTCTGCACCAGATACAGTGGCTTGCAAAAGTATTCGGCCCCCTTGAACTCTCCCACATTTTGTCACATTACAGCCACAAACATGAATCAATTTTACTGGAATTCCACGTGAAAGACCAACACAAAGTGGTGTACACGTGAGAAGTGGAACGAAAATTATACATGATTCCAAACATGGTGACTCTGGACGAGCTGCAGAGATCTACAGCTCAGGTGGGGGAATCTGTCCATAGGACAACTATTAGTTGTGCACTGCACAAAGTTGGCCTTTATGGAAGAGTGGCAAGAAGAAGGCCATTGTTAACAGAAAACCATAAGAAGTCCTGTTTGCAGTTTACAACAAGCCATGTGGGGGACACAGCAAACATGTGGAAGAAGCTGCTCTGGTCAGATGAGACCAAAATGGAACTTTTTGGCCAAAATGCAAAACGCTATGTGTGGCAGAAAACTAACACTGCACATCACTCTGAACACACCATCCCCACTGTCAAATATGGTGGTGGCAGCATCATGCTCTGGGGGTGCTTCTCTTCAGCAGGGACAGGGAGGCTGGTCAGAGTTGATGGGAAGATGGATGCAGCCAATTACAGGGCAATCTTGGAAGAAAACCTCTTGGAGTCTGGAAAAGACTTGAGACTGGGGCAGAGGTTCACCTTCCAGCAGGACAACGACCCTAAACATAAAGCCAGGGCAACAATGGAACGGTTTAAAACAAAACATATCCATGTGTTCGAATGGCCCAGTCAAAGTCCAGAACTAAATCCAATCGAGAATCTGTGGCAAGATCTGAAAACTGCTGTTCACAAACGCTGTCCATCTAATCTGACTGAGCTGGAGCTGTTTTGCAAAGAAGAATGGGCAAAGATTTCAGTCTCTAGATGTGCAAAGCTGGTAGAGACATACCCTAAAAGACTGGCAGCTGTAATTGCAGCAAAAGGTGGTTCTACAAAGTATTGAATCAGGGGGCTGAATAATTACGCACACCCCACTTTTCAGTTATTTATTTGTAAAACATGTTTGGAATCATGTATGATTTTCGTTCCACTTCTCACGTGTACACCACTTTGTATTGGTCTTTCACGTGGAATTCCAATAAAATTGATTCATGTTTGTG